AGAAAGGAAAGCGGCGGAAGGAGCTAGAAATCCCCGTCGACGACGCGGATGAGTCAATGATGGACGCGGAAACAGCGACTTTGGGTGTCGTCACGCCCTCACGCAGGCGCGCCCGAAGGGACTCAGCAAGCAGTGATTCTTCCCTCTCGGAACTGTCTGCATCGCCATCACTGCCACCAGACTCGCCATCTCCCAGCTCTCCGCCCATTCCCGTCGGATTTCGAGTCGTCAGCCACAGTCGCCGTCACAGTGCCACGACGGCTACCACGGCTGCTGGGGCCGACCCCGAGACCACCACAACCAGCGCAGCACCGCCAACCGAACCCCAGCCAATTAAGAGACGCGGCAGATCCCTTGCTACTAAGTCGAGCGTGTCTGACGCATCCAACCCAAACTCACCCACCCTCCCCCCAAACGCATCTCAAGCTGCAGGGGCTGGCAACATGCCTGGTCGACTTTCCTCGCCCATTTTCCCCAACCTGTCGTCCACGGCCAACACGACCACGACAACAAAAGCGGCCGGTAAGAAGAACGCCAGCAAGGACAAGGCACCGCGCATCTTGCCCAGCGATGATGCCACGACTTCCCGCAGGAGAAATGCACGCGACAGCACCATCAGCCAGACGCCCCAGCCAGAGAGCCACATTCGCGGATCAGACATGAGAGGTAGAGCAGGATCCGTGTTTGCATCTTCGCCAGCGGTGCATCTTCGCAAGTCAGCCAGGACGCCGGCTCCCAATCTGAGCCTGAATTTGAACCTGAGCGCGAGGACCACGAGATCGGCCAAGAGGACGCATGATGAGATAGACAACAGCTCTCCGACCGCTCCATCCTTCATTGAGGACGTCACTCCGACGGCGAGCTCGAGAGCTGCGACGCCCACAAACCTACGCCCTACGAAGAAGCAGCGGACCGGCTTGCGTATCAAGACTTCGTAAGTTCATTTTTGCCCCTGATGCACTCTGCATATCGCGGCTTTTATCCCAGACTTTGCGTCGAAGTGGCATAGTGCGATGAGATGAGAACCCCAGCCCTGAGTGGCGACCTGGGCGGCGTCGCACGGCAGGCGATTGATCTCATCGCCGTAGCCATCGCATTCGTCCGAAATTTCATCGCAAAGCACATCATAAACATGCAAAATTGAAGTCACTGACGCGTTCCATCACAGTCCTATGAAGAAGAAAGGAGGCACTGCAGCTGGCGTTCCCCGTGCCAGTGGAGAGGGCGGTCCATCTGTCGCCAACGGGGGCCCGACAAATCAGGTAAGTCTATGTCGCGTGTCTCTTTTTCATCGTAGCACAAGGCTTCCCACTTCAATCCAAACCAATTTTTCTGCCTTGGGCGCACTCGATGGGCTGGTGGTTGGGATGACAGGATGGGAGCAGACGAGGGCATGAGGGCATTCTGCGGGCATGGATCTTGAGCGGCCAAGGCGCACATCCCGACTCAGAGTTTAGCGGCCCCCGTCCTCCCGTTTTTCCCGACCCAGCCTGCACTCCCACCTCTTCATTTCCCGCAAATTGCCTCAGCGAACACATGCTTACAACCTACCAGGACGAGAATGATGACTACTGCTCGGCTTGCGGCGGTGTTGGGGAGCTCGTTTGCTGTGAGAACTGCTCTAGGTCATTCCATTTCGAATGTGTCGACTTGGGCCTGGGCGACACGCTCCCCGAGGAGTGGTTTTGCAACGTCTGTTTCAGCACGAGATACCCCACTAGGGTGCCCGAACACAAGGGTCCCTTTGGAGGGTTGCTGAATGGCTTGGAGAAGACGAACCCGCAAGCCTTCAAGCTGCCTCGGCCAGTCCAGCTCTACTTTGAAGGCGTCAAGATTGGACCTGAGGGCGAGTACGAGGACGTGGTGGTTCCCACTAAGCCAAAGTAAGTGCCAAGTCCCACGGCTTATCGTCACCGTCAGCTGACAATCGCTCCAGGAAGAAGGGATATGAGGAAGCTCCTGACTTCTTCAAGGTTCGGGACGCCGACGGCTCTGCGGTTCTATGCCACAATTGCCAGCATCCAGCAGCAGACAACCGAGCCATCATTCCTTGTAGTCTGTGTGGACTTTACTGGCATCTGGACTGTCTTGACCCGCCTTTGGCGATTCCGCCAGTCGTGCGGACATGGCGCTGTCCGGTTCACGCAGACGACCTGCTGGCCACGCTGCCGGAACAGCTCGCACCAGCTCACCGCTTCCGGAAGATCAAAGGAGCACCCACCATCACCCCTGCTTTTAGCCGCGGTATGAGAAACAACGGCTTCATCGAGATTGAGGAGGAAGAATCAAGTGACGAAACGGGCTGGAGCGACGTGAAGACGTTTGGTCGAGTGTACAAACTGCCCGCCAAGGGCGTTGTGCTCGACTTCATTTCTCAGTCAGTATCGCCTGCGTTGCCTAAATTTGCGGGGAGTACTAACAATTTTCACAGGCTTCGAAAGGATGGCGCAGGCTACATTGCTGGCTCGCAGCCATTGGCTGGGGCCCAGCCACACCAGACTAGCCCTCCTCTGGACTCTCGCACGCTGGCGGAACAGCAAGCGGTGTTCAACATGGTCGAGCTGGCTTCCACTCGGCAAAACAACAAGCTCGACGACCTCACCCAGGCTCTCTTGGTAAGAACAACCGCGACGTCGAGACGGCGTAGACGTAGAACTAACAGATCCCCAGATGAGTGCCGATGCAGACGTTCTTTCCATCATGGCGCGTGGCAGCGCCGAGAACTTTGCCAAAGGTGACTTGAATGCCAATGACAAGCAAAGTCTTCGCGCCATGCTTGCTCACATGGACGCCATGTCTGACCGCATCAAGAGCCTGCTTGGAGGCGGTTTGCACGGCGTTGCTGGCCCGGCTCCGATGGCTGCGGACGCCGCCATAGCCGACGGCAACACCACAGACGTCACACAGAGCGTGGAGGGCGATGTGACTACAATCAAGAACGAGTCCGTTGAGCCGCCGGCTGATCTGCCTACCCCGGCGACGACGACTCAGGACAACCCGGAGCCGGCCAGCGTTCTTGGGGAGAAGTCGTCGCAGGAGGTGCCGAACGACGACGACACGACCGTTATGGATATCGATTAGGATGCCAACCACGACGAGACTCGGTCGGTGACAATGGAGCGTTCCTCTTCCCCAACCAACTCCGACATACACATGCGACAGTCTAATGACGACATAAGCGGCGCGCATGTACCGACACTGGAGAGACACCACGACGTCGTCTGACAAGAAGGGCACGACGATCATGGTGTATCCGCCATCGGTATTCTCTATTATTTTCCCTTTTATTATTATTGCCCCTTGATTCCCAAGACACGACCTTTCGCACGGATACCGGAGTTTGGAGGAATCGGGCATCAGCGATTGAACACAGGAGGACCGCTCCAAACACATCACACACACACACACACACACACACACACACACACACACACACACACACACACACACTCAACGTCATAGAAAGAAGCACAGCGGTCTAGTAAGAGAAACGAGTTCGCACACGTTTCGAGCGCAGGAAGAAGGGTGGCATTTTGAGTCTTTTCATACTTTTTTTTTGAGCAAGCACGGCATCGGCAGTATGTGCTATCCATAGCGTTGGGGGGAAGATGAGAATGACAGGCAGCCTGGGTATACCATGCCTATATCGATGGAGAAGGAGTAGTCAGTCGGGTCGGGCTCGTTTGCGCGCCCCCTCTTTCTCTACAGTCGTCTTGTATCATACCACAACTCTCTTACACTCGTAGTCTCTTCCTTGGGTTCCTAGGTTAGGTATGGGTAAGGCACACAGGAAGGTAAAAGTTTTGAGATGGCACAGAGGCGGAGGTGAGAGTGAGTGAGTGGATGGGGATGGCGGAGGGGGCATTAGGCATCGAATAGAATGCTACACTACACACCGCATCAATCAAGTCATGCCCCTGTGACATGTGGCCCACGTGGTACTGCCAAAACCAGCTTCTTGGCTCGTTCATGACAGAACCCCCTGGTTACTGCTGGCTTAGAAGGTTTACCTGGCTCTTCTTCACTTGGCGGGGTTGAAACTGGACAGACACCATAAATAAATGTGATACACAAACAGGCACAAGGACAGAGACAGGCCATATGTGTGTTGGGAAATACGAATAGCTTTTACTACAATGCAAACACTACCTCATGCTATCTATCTATACAACCCGGTCAAGAGCAGCTTTTGGTGCCACCATGAACGGGAAGGAAGTTTCGTCACAGCCGTAATCGAATAAAGAAGACAAAAAAAAGACATACTTTCGAAAGCCATAGGACACCCTTCCATCCCCACCCTAGGTTTCTACAAGAAAGGGAAAAAAAAAAAAAGGAGAAGAACAAGAAACAATAGATGCTGCTGCTGCTGCTGCTGTAAAGCTCAGAAAAAGAAGTGATGCCCGCCCATCGTTTGAGACTCCGATTGATGACTTTGCAGTACCTGGAAGCAACACACATGTTTTTGGGGTAGGGTTGGTTTTTTTTTTTTGTGGTTTTTGGTTTTGTCTGACTTCCTCGCAAGCGCGGGCTTCAGGAGGACGGTCTGCCGCCCGTCACCCACCGCCCGCTCATTCTATATACCACGCCACAAGCAAAGTGAGGGCAGCAATAGTAGTGTTGTAAAAAGAAACAACTTCCCAGGTGAAGATCAGGAAGGATGAAGAGCCATTCGTGGAGCTGCTGGAGCCCACCAGGTGAATCGAAGAAGAAGAAAAAATAAAACCCTCTCTCGTTGCTGCGACCACTATCCGGGGGCAGCATTTGTATGTGCCCTTGTCTATCATCGAGACATGGCCCCCTCCTCGATAGGAGTGGCTTGCGCATTTTCCTGACACATCGGGCGGCGTTTACTCCTGCAAACATTCTTTACATGACGACCCAGATCCACCAAACTCCTGTGCCGATTCCATACCAAGCCGTCCTTTACCAAGCAAAAAGAGCGGCGTGAGCCAGTCAGACCGTCCCTGACCAGCATTTCGTCTGTACAATTGGCGTTCGGATCACCTCTTTGTCATCAGAGTTAGTGCTGCCTGGGACCACCGATGGGGGTAGGTAGGGGTTGACCTACTCGGCCACGTCTTCCGTTGACCTGCTCCTGTTGCATGTAACCCATGTTCTGCATGCCGCCACCCATGTTGCCGTAACCAAATCCTCCCATGCCTCCCATGTTCATACCAAATCCGGGAGGTGCGTACGGTGCCTGACCGGGAGGCATCTGAGGGATCTGAGTCGCCGGGGGCTGGATAGGGCTACCGTTGGCCAAGTTCTGGCTGCGGTACTGGTCGATCGATGGACTAGGGCTGTTGTAACCGCCAAATCCTGCCTGCATTGGCGGGAAGAAGTTGTTGATGGGAGGGGTTGCGCGGTTCAGCATGTTCTGCTGGTACTGCAGCTGTTGCAAGTTCGCAGGAGCCGGCATCGGAGAGTTCGATGGGTTGTACATAGGGTTTTGCACACCATACGGCGGGAACGGCGGCATGTTCGCGTCAGCAGGCTCGTTGCGCTGGCCACCAAAGCCCATCTCGTAGTTGGACGGATTGACAGGCGCGTTGAGCGGGTTGTAGAACTGCTGCTGCTTGTTCATGTGGCCAGCCTGCTGGTGGTGGTTGTTCAGGTTGGCCTGGCGAGAAGCCGGTCGCTGGCGCTGTTCATTGTTGTTCGAGTTGCCGTGTCCGTGGTCACGAGCACCTCCGCCGCTGTTGCGTGTAGAAAGACCAACCTCGTCCATCAAGCGCTTGTAGCCTTGGCCGGGCTGGGCCTTGATACGAACTAAGACATTCTTGACATTCTCAACCACCTGGCTGCGGATGCTCTCGTCGAAGAAGGGTGTGGTGAGGACCTTGAAGATCAAGGTGGCACCGCAGGCATGGTCGCTGAGGATCGCCTCGAGAATCTGGTCGTTAGGCGTGAAGAACAGAGCCTTGAGAATGGTGTCTCGTGCCTCCGGCTCCGCCTTCTGGTTGATGACCTTCAAAACCGTGAGATAAGCGACCTTGTGTGTGCAGAGATGGACGAGGCAAGGGACAAGCTGGGGCGACAAAACTGTCCGGCGCTGAGGGAACGTGCAAGTATCCAAGAACCAAGTCAGAAGCAGGGCTCCGTTGGCGTTGGTGGCGAGCTGCACGCTGTGCAGGGCGATGGCGGCAGCAAGCATGCGCTGCTGCTCCTTGGTGGAGTGGTGGCTCTCCAAGCAAGCGCGCATGGCACGAGCACCGTAGCGGCCTTGAGCAACCTCCCACATGCGGCTAAGCATGGTCTCGAAGATGAAGTCATTGTAGGGAGCGCCAAACTTGAGGCAGCCCTGGAGCACATAGTTGCCGTACTGGTCCAGGAACAGGGGGATCGTGTACGGTCGCAGGTGCTCAACGATCAAGGACATCTGGCGAGGAGTCTTGCAGACATCGATGATCTTCTGGGCAGCCCAGGTGCCATTCTTGTGCACGCCAATCTCGGCCATGTGAGGAGCAATCTCAGCAAGCATGGCATCCCGAAGGTCGTCGGAGCAGTGCTCGAAGAGCTTCTGCACGACTGTGTTGCCCAGATAGTCGGACGACAGCTCGGCAATCTCGGGAAGCATGTCGAGGGCGGTCGTCTCGATCTCGGCCTGGGAGAGGCTCTGGTTGTCGATCCGCTTCCTGATGTCTCTCAGTCTCGGAGCGTCGTGGACGCGGGTGTGAGCAGGCTCCCGAATAGGGGGGATCTCGTCAACAAAGTTATTGAACTGGATGGAAGACTGGAGGCTGCGGGAGATCTTGGCAGAGTCCTCGTCAGAGGCCTGGAATTGCTTCACGATACGGAGGATGTCATTCGTCATCTCAGCCAGAGGTGGCACGGTCGGAGCAGCATTTGCTGGCTGCGCAGCCAGGGGCGCGCTGTCGGCGGCGGCGCCGGAGCCAGAACCGGATGCGCCGTCCTGGTTCTTCGAGAAGGGATCGGGGCTGGGGGACGGGAAGACGCCATCGTGTCCGGGCGTGTTGGAGGCAGATGGTGGCTTGGCGAAGTTGATGCGGATCGGTCCAGCTCCGGGGAAGATCTCCTTGCCATTCATGCTAGCCTTCGCCGTGATGGCGCTCTCCATGCGCTCAAAGTTCACGAAGCCGCAGTTCTTGTGGGTGAGGACACGAGCAGACAAGATTGGGCCGTATGACTTGAACATCTCCGTCAAGGTTGACGTTGTTGTGGAGGTGGGAATGCTGCCCAGCCAGAGAGCGCTGGTGGGACCTTCGAGACCTTGGTCCTCGGCGTTGAGGAGATTCGCGTTGCGGCTGCTTGACCGTCCAAGGTTCATAGCAGCGACGGCTTGTGGCAGGTCATCAAATTCCTTCTCATCCGGCAGACGGATCTCGGCGGGCGGGATAGCACCGCCCATGCCAGCATTACCAGACATGTAGGTGCGCATCAGGCGGGAGCCAGGGGTGTCCAAAACACCCGCGGTGCGGGCACGAGGACGGGTCGCCTGGTTGGCAAAAGCTTGCACAGCCAGGTTGTGGTTGTGAATGGCCGCATTGGTTGCCGCAAGCTGGTCCTGGAGGTGAGCGACATACTGGCTCTCCAAAGTCATGTTCTCCTCGAAATCATCCTCTTCCTCGTCAGCGTACTTGTCCTTGTTGTTGACCGAGTAAGAGCGGAAACGATTAGCCTTAGTAAAATCGTTGAAGCTCGGGATGTACGGAGTGGCCAGTTGCGCGCGAGGGGGCTGCGGTGTCTCAGCTAGTCCAAGGTAGTCGAGCGTCCTCATATGGACATCACTCTCACCACCGCCTTCTCTAGAGATCTGGGACTGGGTTGGCGAACTGGGGCCGTTCGTAGAGCCGATGCTAGCGATGCTTGCCAGTGTCATGCCGCGATCGCGACCGGTTCCGGCGGGGTTCCAGCTGCTGAAGATGGAGGGTCCAAATGGAGAGCTGGTACCCGGAATTTGAGCAAAGGGGCTACGCTGAGGCATTGAACCGGCGCGAAGACGGGAGAGCAGCGCGGAATTGTTGGAGGCGGTGTCCGCTGGCTCGAGGCCTGGGGAAGATGACTTGAAGGGGCTGTGGGAAGGCGTGGGCCGAGATGACTTGGGAGCCATCGCAGGAATATTGAGCAGACCGTTACCGACACCGCCGGGAGAGAATCGTGACGGAACAGTACCAGCGCGAGCACGCCTCGTCTGGGGTAGCGAGTCAGGCGTAGGAAGCTGGGCAAAGTCGGGGAAGCCATCGGTTGGCGATTCGGGGATGTTCTCGCGGAGAGGCGTGGAGTTGCCGCTCGTCGGCGGGCCGCCCCAGGGATTTAACGGCAGTCCAGGCACGCCTTCCTGAGCTTGAATTTCCCGGGCTCTGTGATGAAGCAATTAGCATTGGTGGTTCCAGAGAGAAAGGGAGCTGGAATGGGCACCTCGCGTACCTCTTGGAGAACAGCCTGCTGGAACCGGGCATCTCGTGCGACGGAGAGCCAGCCCCTGATCGCGAAGCGCTAGCCATCTTGCTGGTGTGATTCAGGCTGCCTGGCAGGCCGAATGGAGATCTGACCGAGGAACCAGCGGCAGAGTCAATGGGAGATGTGTTGTTGGCGGTCGGTGAAGTCGACCGAGCCTGTGTGGCAGATTGGGGCGGGTAACCAATGGCCAAATGATCGGATCTAGTTGACATTATCAATTATCTAGGCCGCACCTCATCAGAGAAGTTTGTGACACTTGAAATGGACCCGATGGGATGACGGGGCCGTCGAATGGGATGCTGTTCTCCGGGGTGACGATGAACACGCGCCAAGGAGAATCAAATCCGACGACTTGAGGACAGCCTGGAGGAGACCGTAACGTCTCGTATTCCCTGTCGGACGAGTCGAAAGGGATACCGACAGCGAAATGCTGCGTCAATTTCCCCAACGTCCTGGTTTTTTTCTTTCCTGCCGAAGCTATTTCGCGGACTGTCCGGGACGAGCTGCCAACCTGTCGAGTACGGGGAGGCAGAGAAGTGATGGGGTCGCCGGGGCAGTCGTGCGCAAAAACGGGGTTGGCTCGTCTGGGGCTGGGAGTGTAAGGAATGTTGGTCGAACGGTCGAAGGGGACGAAAAAGTGTTGTGTGCGTATTTCCAGGTATTACAAGGTACGCCACGCCAGACAGACGGTTGTACGGGGGGCTGCTGGGCGTTGTCGAGAATAAAAAAGGAGGGTTCGACGTCGGTCGGATGGGGAGGGATTGCTTGAGTTGTGAGGTCAAGGAATGTCGGGGGCTTGTGGGCTACGGACGATTGGGCGCTGGGGCGATGGGAAGATTTCTCCTGCCGTCACTCGGTAGCCGTTGTGGTCGCGTAGCGGTGGGTGGTCTTTTGAATGTGGAGGCTGCGATACGAAGCGATGCGGTGCGGTGCGGTGCGGTGCGTTTGCGGAGCGTTGCGTTGCGTAGCGTTGCGGTGTCGTCTGGTCGGTTTTCGGTTCAGATTCCACAGGTCCGGATTCTCAACACACAAATACACAAACACACACACACTACCACGATTTCTCTTGTAGCGGCAGATCCCAAAAACCAACTCTGATGTCCTTTCCTTCCGGGCTTCTTTTGAGCGAGACAAAAAGAGAGAGGAAAGAAACAAAAGTAAAAGATCTCAATATACAGGCGTCATTAGTATAGGGTCGATGAGGCCTGGAGAAAGGGATAGGGGTTGGGGGGTGGAAGAGTGGTGGGAGTGGAAGAGGGGAAGAAGACGAGAGGAGCAGCAGAGGAGGAGGAGGAGGGAAAAGAGAGATTTCAGAGTGTGAGGTTTATGGTTGATGGAACGGTAAAATGAATGCTACGGAGGTGCAGTGCTCGTTTGGAGTAAGGAGTTGGGTCCTTGGACCAGTCCCGTCGTGCCAGTTTAGGACGGATAGTCAGGCAAGGCAAGGCACAAGAAGACAAGGTGAGGTGAGGTAAGGCAGGCCAGGTAGGTACCTCGAGAAAGGGTAAGGTAGGTACGGACGGATAATTAGGTAGGAAACGGACGATAGGGCAGGAGGAGAGAAGGAGACAGGTACATACAAGGACGTTGTCGAGGTCAGTTTAGGGGGGAAAGGAGGGGTGGTTTGAGGTTAGGGGAAAAGGTACATGCATGACCGGGCTACCTGCCTTACCTCTCATGGAAGAAGGCCTTGGGTTACCTTTTCGCTAGTTGGGTGCAGTGCGGTGCAGCGAAGCATCAGTAGAAGCAAGCATCAGCAGCAGAAGCAGAAGCAGCAGCAGCAGCAGTGCAATGCAGGCGCAGATGCAGCTCTGTCACCACGGACATTCATTGCCATTGACTGCCCTGGCCTCCACTGCCGTCCATATTGAAGCCAGGTTGGAAGTAAAGGCAACCCAACGCGAAGCAGGGCAAGGTACCTTTTCTTGCTGCTCGCCACGGCAGGTACATGGCTCTCGTCATTCGCAGCCGTCTCCCCTCGTCAGTTAGACCAGGGCAAACTGCTCAAGACAGGGACTGGCTGACACGACAGCGCCCACAACGGGGCCAAGCGGAGGGTTGAGGTCAGTGTGAAACGGCAGCCGATCGACCTTAGCATCGCTTTAGGGGGCACTCAAGCGGGCAGTCTGTCGTCTTCTTAGCCGGTACCTATCTACCTACCTACCTGCGTTACGGTATTTCAGTCTGCTTTCACTTCTTGCAGGTATCTCGACCATGTGCCCTTTCCTGCACTAGGCAGCCCGTCGAGTCCGTCTTGCCGGCCCCTGGAACGGCGTTGGCATCTTGACGCCTCTAGTTGGCAGGCGTCTCCTCCCTCCCCCGTCCTGCTTCCTCTCAACGTCAATTGCCCCTTCCCCTGCTTTCCTCAGCCAGACAGACGCAGGTGGGTCCCGAGCCCGGGAGCGAATGGTGTGGCCAGGGAGGGCTGACACCGAGTGGGAAGGTGCGATGCCGTGGGTACCTTCCATCTGGTGCACCGCTGTACCGCCCTCTGTACCCGCAATTGCAACTCCACATTATCCAACTTTGCACACCATGGAGATGGAGAATCAGGATCACTGCCATAATCCATTGACAGGCCGCGACGCCATCGTGAAGAGCGGCTGTGCTGTCTCTTGCTCATGCCCATTGCCCACTACATGCCCCAGTCGCTGCCTTCTGCCGCGAATCCCACCTTGAAACCGACGGGCGGCCACGACAGAACCGTTTACGAGCTGTGGAACGGAACGGAACAGAACAGATGCGCAGGAAAAACACATACTTCATACCTACGGAATGCCACGAATAGGTACGAATACACCACAAAAACCAAACCAAGCACCTTAACACCTACCGCAGTAGTACCTACCTAGGGTAGGTCTCGGTCTAGACTCGGGACGGGACCTCGTCCAACGACACGCTAACTCGGCGGAATGCGCACCAACGTCTGTTAGCGGGCAATAACCTGTCTGCCCCCGAAGCAATCGCTTGTCCTTCAATTCCTGATCCCACGGCCCTTACCCCGGATCAACCTCCAACTACCCGTCTCCAAGCGACCCGACGGGACTATTGTCTTTCAATTCCTCTTCAAGACGCAGATATAACCGCAACGTGTCTGAGCGTCCACGTCCAACTGCCAACACGACACAACCGACCAGCCCTACGACGACTCGTCCCTGGCCTGCTTTTCCACATCGTCCCGTCTGGGATGATCAACACTCTTCAGCTGCTCCAGGCCCAGCCGATGCCGCGATGCCATCCTGGCGCCTGGTCTTGATACCGACCCGACTAAGATGCACATCCCTCCTCTCCCTCCATCACCACCACCACCACCACCGGCCAGTCATCAGTCATCTTTCACCAAACTCAACCCCTCATCCAATGCCATGGAACCACCGTCAACGAAGCCTCCAAACTGTCAACCAGGTCCCATCCCTCCATATGAGCCGGGATCCCGTCCCTTATCTCCTACACGCTTCCCCAGTGTTACCGATCTATCACCGTCAACAGCGCCTCATCTTTCGCCGAAGTTGAGTAGCCGATTGCTGCAAAAGACACCCTCTGCGCTGAAGAATTAGGGGTCTGGCCTGGAGCATGACCCAAAAATGGGGGCCAAACTGACTTGACGTTGGCTTGTCTCCATCGCCCCGACGAACCATCCTCGCTCGTCGCCACTGACAAGTTGTCGTCCCTTACGACACCACACCGTTTCCTCGGAGGCATTTCTCCATTTCTGGGCGTGCCTCGTCGTCTTCAGAGTTGCAGCGCGGTGTGCACAACCCTCGCTAACCACCTGGCCAGACCGGGGTGTCGCTACAAACCTACCAGAAGCCATCATATAACCGCGACATCTCAGTGCAACTTGACCGGCCACCACCATCCGTCTGCCTTTTTCGGGAACGACGGCTGGCCTTCGAGAAGCCCTCAGACTGGGGCTCTGGGGAAAGCGAGAGCCCCCGGCCATACCTCACATGCCCGCACCTTAGCTGGAACCTAGCCCAATATCAGATTCACATCTTAATGCCGGCAACAAGCAACTTGGTCTGCGGCTGACAAGCCCGTATGTCATTGCCAGTCAACTTGGGACGAGACTACTCAACATCACAAAGCACAAATCCTGCGCACCGCAATGACTTCTGGCCGGCCTGGCGAATCCTACTATCCAGCCCTCTGACCGCAATGTTCTGTGCAGCACCTGACAAAGTGCTGACCTGCTGTCATGGATAAATTGACAGAAGCCACGAATGTACCGGCCTGGGTCTAAGGAAAGCCGGACACCCTGTCTGGGAGGCTCTGTGCTCTCTCCTGGGTTCCTTCAGGGGTTCGACCACCAACATCGCGAACCACGTCCAGTCTTCGGGTTAGAGAATCTCGGTCAGCCCTCCCCGGGCTTTGCTGACACGATGCAACCGACGTCGGCCATTCCTGCCCTCTTCAACTTCGGGCCATCACACGAGATCCGCAAGTATATGCATGGACGACTTGACAAAAGAGCAGCGAGTGCTGGACATGGCCGCCACCGTTTACTGACTCAAAACCTGGGCCACCATCGCACCTTAATCCACCAGCTCTGGTCGAATCACCAGCCTGGCAAAAGAGACTTTGGCACTTGGAAAATAAAAAAGGGGAGGGGGGCCACCAACAGCAAGCCAGCGAAGCTTGCGACGTGTTTCCCAATGGGGCCACTGACATCAACAGCCAAGGTCCAGGCTAAGCCAGGCCTGCCAGGTGCAGCACCTCAAAGGCGTGATGGAGATGCTGGTAATTTATGCTGCAGCTTAACGCCCCCTGGCCCTTCTCCAATCACAACCTCGGATGACTCTTGTCAGAGGATCTGCTAAAAAATTCTGAAACATGGCTTTAGCCTGCCCTATCCACGCTACGCTCACTTCTGTGATGCCGTATGCACACTCCCACGCCACGATCTGCCGCCAACGGCTCCCGCTTACAACGTCGCCTTTCGAAAGCTTTCACGTTTCTCGTATCTCTCTTTGGTCGCCCGCTGCCCCTCAGAGCCTGGTCTTCAACTGGTCATCGGCCGGTGTGCAGATACGGTGAGCACATT